CTTTTTAGTCACACTGTTTGTGAGTTGGACCCACTTGCTGTCTCACTTCGGTATTTCTTGTTACTCTTCAGTGCACTCTAGTTGGCTTTTGACTCCTCTGAAATTGCTCAAGCCATTGAACATCTTTCAGTCTTTTCTTAAAACTGCAGTATTTGAGAGCCGACATTAATTCTCTGTGCAGTATTCTCTTCACTTGTCTTTCGTTAGTCAGGACTCTGCTGGTTCCCTTCAGCCTCTCATGTTCCTCCTTGATGTCCTTTGGCAGCTCCTCGCCTCTTCCCTCATATCTAAGTGCTCCCTGGGGTCCAGTCTCCAACTTTTAGACAGCTCTCTCTGGGTGGTTTCCCTACCTCCCAAGACTCCAGTTACCTCCTGTGTACTTAAAACTCACTCCCCACCCGTCCAGCAACACCCCTTGCCTATCCAACCTCTCAAATTACATGTCCACCAAATCCACAAGCTTGGCGTGCTCAGAATTGAACCTGGCTGCTCTGCCATTCCAGAACTGCCTTGCGTACTGAGTCCACACCTCATGAAGGCCTCCACGAACTGCTCAGTTACCCAGACCACAAATACTGGCCTCAAACTCTGACTCCTCCTTTTGCTTGCCACCCACGTGCAGTTACCTGCCAACATCTGTTCTCACTCTGAGATGCTGAGAGTCCACCCCTTCTTTCACAGTGCCGGTGCTAATTCAGCCACTGTGTTTTCTGTCATTTTGGTTTTGGGAGGGGTTTTGCATAAAGTTGTGCCTCTCACATTGGTCTCATACCTTCAGTCTTGTCCCCAGCCAATCCAATCTCCCAACACTGAAACCAAACAGATCAGTTTAAAATATAAATTGCCTCCTGTTAATTTCCTATCAGCTGTCTGCACATCTGTCCACATGCTTGCCCTTGGGCCTGCAACACTCTTGCCATCCTCCCCTGGTCTTCCTTCAGGTGTCAGCTCAGCTGATGCTCCCTCCATGGTACTTACCATATCAGCTATACTTCTTCTCCTCCACTACACTTTGAGTTCCTTTGAAATAGAGCCTGTGTTTGGTTCTCTCATCTTTATTCCCAGCACTTGGCATATCACCTGGCACATTGTAGGCCCTCAGCCATTATTTGATGAATAACTGAATGAATGATGGACTTTTCATGTACTACCAGCAATTCAAAGGGTAGAATTTTTTTTTAATTAAATTATCATTGATATACAATCTTACGCTGATTTCAAACATACAACACAGTGGTTCAGCAGTTACCCATATTATCAAATCCTCACCCTCTCCAGTCAGTAATCTATCAACATAGATGTTACAGAATCATTGACTGTATTCCCCGTGCTGTCCTACCATCCCCGTGACCAACCTATATTGTGATTGCAAATTATTGTGCCCCTTAATCCCCTTCACCCTTCATCCTCCCCCCTCCCCCCACCCCAACCTCTCTCCCTTGGTAACCACTAATCCAAAGGGTAGAAATTTAATTAGTAAAGTTGACACTTTTAAATACAACTTCAGGATGCTTTATCAACTACAATTAATTTAAAGCCCTTAATGCCTGAAGGCATACTTTATTTGTAAATGAAAACTATCCCTCCCTACTCCTGCCCTCAAGCAAACAGAACCTGCTCTTCAAGTTTCTTTTTTCAAATCAGTTTTCTTAAACTTCTTCAGTGCACTTTTCCCACCCCAGAGCTGAGTCTTGTTGCCAATGTAAAAATATCTGCAAAATCCTTAGCTTTTTCTGGAAATATTAGTCATCGTAATATTGAAACCTCACTGAAATTTTCTATCCGGATAATGTGTCTAAAGTATGAAAATTTAGTTTCCTGAAAGGAATATAATAGTACATTAATTTGTTAAAAATCAACTGTCCTAAGATTTCAGAACAATAATACATTCATTCAAGCAACATTTGAGCGTAGATTATATACCTAGCACTATACTAAGCATTAATAATAGCAAGTTTTTTTTAAAAATTTTAATTAGTTTCTCCCTCAGTAATTTCACAGTCTGTTTCGGGTCAGGATTTGGAACATGTTAACAGATTTATAATGTAATAAAGCAACTGTTAATGGAGCTTGTGCGTATGCTTCTGGAAATACACAGTGAGAAATAATAGTTTGTGTATACACTACTGAAGGTACATAATGAGAAATAAGACCAATTCTTCCAAAAGAGAGCTTCACAGAGAGAAGAATATTTAAACTACATCCTGAAAATATAAGCCAGCATTCACTAGGAAGAGAGGCAAGAAAGGCATCTCAAGTAGAAGGAAGAACATGTACAAAGTCCCGGGGGTTAGAAGTGAACATGGTAGATTCGGGGCATGGCAGATGGGTGAGCTGAAAAGCAATTAGGTGTAGAAATGGTTGAATGGCAGGATGTAGGGCTAGAAATGGACACAGGATACCTATTGCCAGACATGGTGTAGTCAAAGTCAAATCCAGGAGTTTATGTAGCACAAAAGATAGAAAGCAGCAAACGAAAGTCTTCTGAGATTATCCAATAAAATAAGTCCCTAAGGTATTCCATTTTTTGCAAGATTCAAGTGCTTATCTGCTGAGTGAGGCTCAGATCAGTCCTTTAGGGGAGATTCACTATTGAAAACAAAAGTGACTGCTTCCTTTAGGTGCTGTGTGGCCCTAGCAGGGGTGTGTGTGTTTTAGTTCTCTTTCTGCTCCTCATTGTATGTGATGTTGATAATAAACTAAGAACTGTTTCCTTTTCCAGGCTCATGGCCTTTGCTCCATTATAAGCCACAAGTACAGGCAGTTCTCTGAGTGTCTTCTCATACCTGTTTCTTGGTGCTGTCAACAGTCTTGGATCTGAGCTGTTCCTCAATTTTGAGAATTAGCACTGACCTAAGAAATATGCAATTCTTGGGTGGTCTCAGGGACACTTTACACCTTAAAAATAATTGAGAATTCAAAGAGCTTTTATTTATGTGAGTTATATCTGTCTATAGTTAACATTTAGAATTTAAATTGAAGAACATTTAAATATTCTTACAAGTGACAATAAATACTGTATGTTAACATACATCAGTTTTGATTTATTTAAAAAATAAAAAAAATTTTGACATCAAAAGTAATTAGGGAACTGTTTCCAAAGCAAACAGTTTTGTGAGAAAAGTGGCATGATTTTATATTTTTTTAAATCCCTAATTTTGGCTTATAGAAGACATCTCAGTTCTCACATCCACTCCTGAATTCAGTCTGTGGTGATATCACAGGTCATGTAGGATCCAGAAAGCTCGCCAAGAGAAAGGGAGTGAGAAAGGCAAATAATGTCTTATTATTATGAAAATTGGTTAAACTTTGCAGACTTTCTAAGAGGGCATCAGGGACCCCTAGTGGTCCCCCATCCACATTTGCGATTCTCTGATTTAGGAGTTTTAAAATCTTTCACTGAAAGTTGAGAGTTGAGGATGTATAAAAGTGAGCAGATAGAATGTTGAGGCAAAGCCAGTGTGTGGGTAATTACTTCACCCCGGGAAAGCAGGGGCGGCCACTGCTTTCAGAGGATGAGGAGTTTTGGCAGATGTGACTTATTTGGTCCACTGACTTAACATTAACATCATTTTGTTCAGTTTGCAAACATTCACAATCTCCTCCCCTCAAAGAAAAACAGAGTCTCATTTTATCTTTGTTTCCCCTCATTTAGTCAGGAAATATGCTAAAGGACCAGGCAACAAGCCACCAGTTTGACAACTTCAGAAAAAAGTAAAGACACCTGGGGTTTGTGCTTTCTAGCTCTCTGACCTGGAGCAAGTCACAGCTTTTCTACTCTCAGTTTCTGGACCTAGAAAAGGGCCTACCTCCCTCAGACCTTATCATGTCGCTAATCTGAGATGTGGAATGTAAATGTTTTTCTAAAGCCCTCTCTACAAAGTTATTTTTTATGATGATTGTATTATTGTGATTATAAAACTGCTCCCGAACTCATTAACCTTCCCTTCTCTTTAAGTGAAGAGATTGCCCTCTATTCTTCCCTTGTTTGTGTGTCCCAAAGTCCTTCTCCAATTAAGTTCTTGCAAGCTGCCTATGGGAAGGCCCCAGATGAGCAAGTAGTGTTATCTAAGCTCTGAGACTCCCAAGGCCAAATGCAATTACTTTAACATATCTGCTGTCAGGTTACCCCTATATGCAAACCTCCAAAGGAGGAGAGATGCTGCCAAAAACAAGTTCAGGGGAAAGCATAAACAAGCCTCAACTTCCCTCTCCTCCCACCCTCCAAGGAAATTCTCCAACAGTGTTAAGCCAACAAGAATTACTGCAGTGAAGAGTTGCTATAAGTACAGAAGGTCCAGCTGCAGCTGAAGCAGCTCCCACTGATGTAGCAGACATCAAGTTATAGCCTTCAGTGAGCATGATTGATGGTGAAGTACGTTTGCATTGGTTCAGGTTCCCAACATACATCTGAAGGTGTAGAAGGCTGTTTGGACAAAGAATTGCGAGTGAATTATGCATCTGACGTGACCATGACTTAGAAAAGACCCAGAGGGCAGGACATTTCACTGGAAAGTCACTGAAAGAAAAAAGCAACCAGAAGTAACTTGGCTAAATTAGGCAACATGAGTATAAGATTAAACATTGGCATGTTTAGGAATTCCCAGTCCCAAGTTAATAAAGCCAGGGTCATGAGAATTCTCCTTACTTAACCATCTGCGTTTACCAACCCACCCAGTCTTCTCCCAGCACTAGAAAAACATTGCTTGGAGGAGGAAAAACAATTCTTTAGTAACAGAACATTTGAATATCATCTCAAATGAGACTTTATTTCAAAATCTGGAGAGAGATGTCAACTCAAATTTATTCTATTCTATTCTAAGTCAAGTCCTTTTGGACAAGTAACATTGCCAAAACACAATTTCATCTCCCTTTCCTCATGTGTATAAAAGCAGAGCTGCATGCCTTCTACTCAACAAGTGACTGAAATGTTAATAAATAAAATGCTACTGTAGCTTTATAATAATTATCTTTGTCTCTCCCTTTTCCTTCCCGTCTAGCTTTGAAGGCCTCACCATCTAAGAAACGTTGCAATTCCATCGCCGCCCTAAAGGCCACCTCCCAGGAGATCGTGTCCACCGTTAGCCAGGAATGGAAGGGTGAGAAGCGCGATTTGCTGACCGAAGGACAAAGTTTCAGCAGCCTTGATGAAGAAGGTAAAGACATGTAATTTTAAAAAAGAAAGAAAGAAAAAGCTCTTGTGTTTTTATTTACACAAGTAATGAAACTCATAAAAGAAAAATTAGAAAATACCTACTCTAAGAAAAAAGTTGTTAATTTTTAAAAGGCTATTTACAGTATGATACTGTTAACATAAAAATTTTAAAACACGATGTAGTTTATGGAAAAAAAAGAGAGGTTACTAAAATATTCAAGAGCAAAGCTCTATAACCCCACTACCTGAAAGTAACAAATCTAAACATTTTACTGTTAGACCTTGTTCTGTGTGTGTGTACAGGCACACCTCAGAGAGAGTGTGGGTTCATTCCCAGACCACTGCGGTGAGGTGAATATTGCAACAAAGCAAGTAAACGGTAGCTTTCCCAGTGCATATAAAAGTTATGTTTACACTATACTATGGTTTAAGTGTGCAATAGTATTATGCCTAAGAAACAATGTACATACCTTAATTAAAAAACAATTTATTGCAAAGAAAAATGCTAACCATCATCTGAGCTTTCAGTGAATTGTAATCTTTTTGCTGGTGGAAGGTCTTGCCTCCATGTTGATGGCTGCTGATGGATCAGGGTGGTGGCTGCTGAAGGCTGGGGTGGCTGGGGCAGTTTCTCAAAGTGAGATAGTGATGGAGCTTGGCGCCTCTATTGACTCTTCCTTTCACAAATGACTTCTCTGTAGCATGCAGCGCTATTCAACAGCATTTCACCTGCAGTAGAACTTCGAAAGTTGGAGTCAGTCCTCTCAAACCCTGCCAGTGCTTTATCAATTAAGTTTATGTGACATTCTAAATCCTTCGTTGTCATTTCAGCATCCTTCACAGCATCTTCACCAGTAGGTTCCATCTCAAGAAATCACTTTCTTTGCTCATCCAAAGAAGCAACTCCTCATCCCTCAAAGTTTTATCCTGAGATGGCACCAGTTCAGTCACATCTTCGGGTCCACTTCTAATTCTAATTCTCTTGCTGTTTCCACCCCATCTGCAGTTACTTCCTGCAGTGAAGTCTTGAACCCCTCAAAGACATCCATTAGGGTCAGAATCAACTTCTTCCAAACTCCTGTTCATGTTGCCATTTTGACCTCTTCCCATGAATCATAAATGTTCTTAATGGCACCAAGAATGGTGAATATTTTCCAGAAGGTTTTCAATTGACTTTGCTCAGATCCTTAAAAGGAATCACTCTCTATAGCAGCTATAGTCTTACAAAATATATTTCTTAAATAATAAAACTTCAAAGCTGAAATGACTCTTTGATCCCAGAGGCTGCAGAATGAACATTGTGTTAGCAGGCATGAAAACCTAACCTGGTTGTTCATCCTCAGTGATGAGGTACATTATTAATGAGGAGTAATATTTCAAAAGGAATCTTTTTTTCTGAGCAAGAGGTCTCAACAGTGGGCTTAAAATATTCAAAATAACCATGTTGTAAACAGATGTGCTGTCATCCAGGCTTTGATGTTCCATTTGTAGAGCACAGGTGGAGTAGACTTAACATAATTCTTAAGGGCCCTAGGAATTTTGGTCACCGAGCACTGGCTTCAACTAAAGTCACCAATTGCATTAGCCCCTAACAAGAGAGTCAGCCTATTCTTTAAAGCTTTGAAGCCAGATATTGACTTCTCCCCTCTAACTGTGAAAGTCCTTGATGGCATCTTCTTCCAATATAAGGTTATTTCATCTGCATTGAAAATTTGTTATTTAGGGTAGCCATCTTCATGAATAATCTCAGTTCAGTCTTTTGGATAACTCTCTGCAGCTTCTACATCAGCATTTGCTGCTTCACCCATACTTTTATGTTCCGGGGATGGCTCTTCTCCTTAACCCTCAGGAGCCAACCTCTGCTACCTTTAGACTTCTCCTGCAGCTTCCTCACTTCTCAGCCTTCACAGAATTGAGGAGAGTTAGAGCCTTGCTCTGGATTAGGCTTTGGCTTAAGGGAATGTTGAAGCTGGTTTGATCTTCTATCCAGAACGCTAAAACGTTCTCCATCTCAGCAATAAGGATGCTTCTCCCTCTTACCATTCATGTGTTTATTGGAGGAGCACTTTTCTTTCAAAAACTTTTCCTCAGCATTCACAGCTTGGCTATCTGTTTGGTGCAAGAGGCCTAGCTCAGCTTTCAACATACCTTCCTCACTAAGCTTAACCATTTCTAGCTTTTGATTTAATGAGAGATGTGCAATTCTTCCTTTCCTTTGAACACTTAGAGGCCATTGTAGGAATATTAATTGACCTAATTTCAGTAATTTGTGTCTCAGGGCATAGAAAGGCCCGAGAAGAAGGGAGAGAGATGGGAGAATGGCTGGCGGGTGGGACAGTCAGAATACACACATTTGTTGATTAAATTTAATATAGGGGCACAGTTTATGGTGCCCAAAAACAATTACAATAATAACATCAAAGGTCAGTGATTACAGCTCACCAAAACAAATATAATAACTAAAAATTTTGAAATATTTCAAGAATTACCAAAATGTGACACAGAGACATGAAGTGAGCAAATGCTGTTGGGAGAAGCACCAATAGACTTAATCAACATAGGGCTGCCACAAACCTTCCACTGGCAAAAAAAGTATTCTCTGTGAAGTACAATGAAATGAGATATGCCTGTATTTATATATTTTCAAATGCACATATACATTATATACATATATACACACATACATATGTGTACCTACACCATATAACAATTATCTATTTAGGTCCTTTTTAGTAAATTTAATGTTTTATGATTATCTCCATACATGTATATACACCTACCTTTTGTTAGATTTATTCCCAGATGGATATAGAGAGACAGACACAGATATACATTTCCTGGCTTTTCAAATAGTGTCTTTCTAACATCTGGGTTTTCTGGCTGTCGCTGCTGCATCTGTTGCCCACATCTTCTCTTCTTTCTTGCTTGCTTACTGCTTAGGTCTGCTGGTGCAATGATGAATATAACTGGTGTCTGTGGGCAGCTTTGCCTTGGCCTGATTGTAAGGGAATGCTTCTGTTTCACTGTTCAGGGAGAAGGTTTCTGCATTCAATACCCATAATCAGGTCAAGGAAGTTCCTTTTTATTCCTGCTTTGCTTTATCAAGAATGACGGTTGCATTTTATCGGATGCTTTCCTCTGTCTTTTGAGTTGATCATTTGGTTTTTATCTCCCAGTCCTCTAACAGGAAGTGACATTTTATTTTTGTATTTTTGTATTCAGCTTCCTTTTTATTATTATTATTATTTTTATTATTAAATGTATGCATCACAGTGGTTCAACAGCCCCCTCCCACTCTCCCTCACTCCAGCCCACTCCCCTTTCCTCTGGTAACCACTAGTCAGGAAGTAACATTTTGATATTTTAGATTTTTTAGCAGTATATTCTTTTGGGAATCCCAACATTTCCTGAAAATTCCTCATACTGAGATTAGAAGTTCAGACCTCTTTTGGGTGTTTTCTCTTCCTCAGTCTTTAGAATACGGTGGTATTATTCCTACTCTGGTAAACCGCCTCTTACCCAGATTTAATGATTCCAACACGAGAGTCAAGGAATTGCCGTTGCTCCTCCCGCTGAGGTGATGGCTCAGATTTCCAGCACACAACCTTTTTTCCCTCAACGTGTCTGCATTGGCATCTTCCCTACCATGCTGCCTGGTTTCCTACAGCACACATAAAACGGCAAGGTGTCTGCAGTCTGGGAAATGGGGGAAACTTATTTTTAAACTGTTAAATTTTCAGATAGTAAGATTTTTGAAGTTAAAGCAGTTAATCTCATTGTTAGTCTCAGGGGAAAACAATAACTACACTACTTAGCACCCAGCAAGTCTGGAAACATGGAAAGTAGCACACATGTTGTGTTCATTTTCAGATCAACTCTTGGACCCATTGCTTCAGATTTAAAGGTGCTTCATCTAAAAAGGGCTCTCAGGGTCAAAGAAAAACCTATTGAGCATGTTCTTTGAAAATGTTAACATACTATTTTTTAATGAGTTTATCTGAACAATTCTCTGCATCTACGAAGTTCGCTACGAGGTTTAGCATTTTTATAATGCTCTATACTGGAGGGCTTCCCCTTTCATAATATACCAGGTCATCACCAAATTTCCCTCTAGTTTTTAATCATTTGTTTTCTTCATTCTCAGTATGTCTGGGTTATATTCATTTTCTATTGCTGTGTTACAAATTACCAGAAAGCTAGAAGCATAATATAATGTCCATTTATTAACTAGCAGTTCTGTAAGTCAGAAGACTGGCAAGGCCTAGCTTGGTCCTCTGGGCACAATTTAGCAGCATCTTAAAAACTGGGATCACTGGAAGTGGGCTAACTTCTCATCTGGAGGTGCCAGAGAAGAGTCCTCTGTTAAGCAATTGGCAGAATTCACTCCCTCGCAGTTCTAGCGCTCAGGTCCCCACGTCGGAGCTTTGCTGTCTGTTAGCTGGGGACCATGTTCAGCCCCTAGAGACTATCCATATTCCTTGCCATGCAGCCCCTCCCTCTCAAATGCAGAAATTTTTGCACTGTGAACCTGTGACATCACCATCTTTAACCCCTTTGACAAACTCAGAGTTAACTGATCGGTAATCTTAATTACATCTGCAGATTCCTTTTACCATGTAAGGTAAAATAACCACAGGAGTAATATCTCATCATTTTCACCCACACTCAGAGGGAGATTATACAGGAGTAAGATCACTGGGGATCATCCTAGGATTCTGCTGACATTAGTTTGTTTTTTAAAAAAACTGAGAGTATACAAGCATAAAGAAACAGTTCTCTGCTTCCACAAGCTGTTCCAAAGGGGCTGAGAGGCCCAGCTACTCAGTGTTTGGGTGACATATGACCTGGGTGCCAGTCACTGAACAGATCGTGTTTTTCTATGTTACATCGCTCAGGTAGCCTCTCGTTTATAAAGTCCAGTTGGGTGTTCCCAAGACCTGAGTCTGCATTAGTTGTTCTCAGTCCAGATCTGTCTGCCTTACATTTAGTGGCACTATATATTCATTAGAATCTGATGTGAAGTTATTTTCCAGACCCAGTTTTCAATGTTATTGAGTTTACCTTTTCTTCTCTGTATTTAATGAAAAGGTGGGATCAAGTATACTGAAGATTGCTAGCCAGCTGTTGTATTCAGTTGAAGGCTTTCTAATTTTTGCATACACTTTGGTCACTTGTGCTTTTACATGATCATCATGTTACTCATTGCAGCAGTTGTCTTTTCTGAACTGGATCGGAGGCAGAGCTGCACCATCTTACACATGTGCATATCATTCAGGTCTCCTAGTCCAGAGTCCAGCCCTTCTGGACTTGCCTCCTTTTCCCTCCACCTCTCCATCTACACCCCTTCAAATCCAAAATTCAAAACCTCACAGTCATGTGATGGTGCCTGTAGGATAATTTTCCACCCACACATGATCTAAAAATGCATAATTTTGAGCCTGTTGTGCTCAAAGGAAAAGAAATACCAGAAACACCTTAAGGTTATATTGTATTTATTATCTTGTTTTAGTTTAGTTTAAGGGAATGTTTTTAAAATATCCACAGTATAGCATGGTGACTATAGTTCATACTGTATTGTATATTTAAAAGTTGCTAAGAGTCAGTCTTTAAAGTTCTTACCACAAAAATAAGTTGTAACTGTGTGTACTGATGGATAGTAACTTACCGTGGTGATCATTTTGCAATATAGGCATATATCAAATAATTGTATTGCACACCTAAAACTAATGCAATGTTATATGTCAATTATATCTCATAAAAATTTTAAAATAAAACATCTACATAAGTTAAAAAAAATCAGCATGAGCCCAATGCAAAACTTTGAGAACAGGATTCGTCCACGCCTATTAGGTCCACAGTGTTCTATCTCCAGAGAATTGCATGTCTCCTTTTAAAGAAGCTCTGTTCTGTGTGACTGGACCTTTAATTTAAAAACTGTCTGTCTGACAGTTGGCTGATAATATATGTAACTTTATTTAAAGTTTAGTATAGGATGATTTAAAATGTTCCAGATTTTTTTAAATGACTCAGATTCAACTCTCAAAAAAACCAAAGCAAAACAGAATTCACATAGACTCACTGAGAGTGGGCATAGGTCAGCTTTGATACTCAGCCTTTAATATTCCTGTTTACTGTTGAGGGAGGACTCCTGCATATGTATTTTCATAGATGCCTGCATTTTAAAGAAGACATAAGCGTTTTCTCGTTTTTAAGAAAATATCCTTGCTGTTAAAATAAGTAGTCCAGAAAAGCCATGGCCAATATTCACAGATATGTGTGGCCTCATGTTTCCTAGCTCTTAAAATGTCTGAGCTCTCAGACACTGAGAATCCTTGATCTGTGCATATCCTAGAGAGGGGGAAAGCAGGTTCACTGTCCATTTATACATTTGTCAATCATCCTTTTAATCTCTGTTGGATTATCTCCTTAAACTCCTAGGAACTTTTTATGTCATCTTTTGAAACAGTAAGTCACTATATTAGGTTTTTAAAAGACCATTCATAATGTTATTTCCATAAGCCACTTTGTAAATTAATGCAATGTCCTTTCTGTTTAACCTGTTTGCAAGAAGCTGTTTCACATTTCTGCTGCAACTCAGGAGAGTGCAGTTAATTTTTAATTTAATTTGCAGCCCAATATATAAAACGAAGGCTTTTGACTCATTTATTATAGACTAAAGCAGCCTTTATTACTGAGATTCATGACGGTGTGTTTTACTTTTGTTACCCAGCACTGGGATCCCGACACAGACCAGACCTGGTGCCTAGCACTCCGTCCCTGTTTGAAGCTGCTTCCTTGGCAACCACAATTTCATCTTCCTCCTTATATGTCAATGAACATTATCCACACGACCGGACTACGCTTTATTCAAACAGGTAATATTTTGCGCACTCAAATTGTCCATGCAGCTATTACCATGTCAACATCACAGCTAAACCAGTATTTCTGAATGAGAACATGCTGTCCCTCACACAACCAGGATGTGGCCATTACCTGCCTGGTAAGTAAGTAAGGTGAAGAGAGCACATGCTTGATTTTTGCTGTGCAAGAAGGACACCTGAGGGAAACTCCTGGTTTTTCTTTACAGTTAACCATTATGTGCTGTAGGAATTATATACTTGGTACCAGGGAAGAAGACAAAGCTTTCATCATTTTTATTTCAATAAAATTTCTTACAAATGGATTTTTCCAAGTAACCACTCCTTGTTAATATTGCACTGATATATGCAAAGATATCTGAATATTCTTTTTTCACTGGAGTTACCTTAGTGACTATGGTAGATGGAATAACAGTCCCCCAAAGTCATCCATGTTCTAATCCTCAGAATCTGTGAATATCTTACCTTATTTTGAGAAAGGGACTTTGCCAGTGTGATTAAGTTAAAGATCCTGAGATGGGAAGAGTATCCTGAATTATCCAGAAAGGCCCAAAGGAACTAGAGGGTCCTTATAAGAGGAAGACAGGAGGGTTAGAATCAGAGGGGATTCCAGAAGCAGAGATCAGAGACAGAGAAAAATTTAGGTGGCCACACTGCTGGCTTTGAAGGTGGAGGAAAGGGCTGTGAGCCAGGAATGCAGGCAGACCCTAGAAGCCAAAAAAAAAACAAGGAAGCGGAGCCTCACAAAGAAACAGAGCCCTTCCGGCGCTTATGATTTTTAGGACTCTGACCACCAGAGCTAGAAAGTTATAATCTGTGTTGGTTTAAGATGCTAAATTTATGATAATTTCTTAACAGCAGCAATAGGAAACTAATATAGTGACTCTCAAACATTTGACATGAATTAGAGCATGGTGCAGATTACTGAAATTTCTCAGGAAGCTACTTTATTAGGTATTTTTCCTTTTTAAACAAAATGTTCTCAAACGTTGTTCCTTGAAGTAGACAATGGTTATCTTTACAAAGTGATCCCAGCATTGTCTGTGGGATTAGCTGTTTTCCTTTTTCTATTTCTGCACATGCAATTCTACAACTGTAACTTTGGTTCCAGGACAGAGAGTACCGTGGATATGTGCTCAGTCATTACCTGTTAAACGTTGAACAAATTCTTGTTGAACTCTAGCTCTCGAGAATCAAGATAAAATTTGTGCAGGCAAAGTGCTTCATATGCTGTTAAGTCTTTTCCACCTCCAAGCAAGCAGCTTGGTTCACCTCCAGAGCGAGGACTTAGTATGGTAGATTCATTTTTTAACATGCATATTTATAGATATTAGTTTGGTCTTTTGGCAAGTTAGGGTTTGGTAGTTGGAGCTTCTGTAGAAATTCTTTTTTGTTTGCTGTTGCCTTGTCCTCCAGCTAGATGCAGGTGAGGTGGTAGCAGGTGAGGCAGCCAGTCCAGGTCTAGAAAAGTGGGACAGATGGAAGGTGAGCCACGAATCATAGCTGGGCTTTAGTTTGGATAGCTTTGCTCCAGGGGCCAACAAATAAGGCTCCATAATAAATTATTCAACTCACCTGAAGAGTAAAAGTAATTTGGTTAGATTCCTTGCATGAGAGAAGTTTTAAGTGACACATACCTGACATTAATGTATACCTTGAATGTTCAAATTTGTTGTGTGAACTAGCCACAGTTTTCCTATCTGGACCATACAGCTGAGCACTCTTCTTTTGCTCTCAGATATAAATAGCCATGCAAAAGATGGCTGGCAAGTCACAGGAAGTTCTTTGCAAGGTTAGAAGCAATTCTCCTGTGAAGCCCAGATAGTTTCTTACCATTTGCTACTGTTCTCATAATCAGAGGCAGACAACTGGATATGTCACTAAGTTGTTTTAGGAGAATTTTCAGCACAAAAGGAAAGGTGTTTGTTGGTTTGGTGGCAGTGGTTGTGGTAAGCATCCAGGCTCCTGGCCAGGGCCATTTGGCTCTGAGGTATTCATAGGTTTCTCCCACAGTCTGGCACTGCCTTCTGCAGGCTCCCGGTTCTTCCTGGCTTGCCTGGGAGCTCCTCTGCATGCTCCAGGGCTGTGGTATATAATTCTTGGTACTTTCATTTTTGCTAATACTGGTTATTATATATGTATATATATTTGGGTGGAAAGAACTTCAGTGTTATCTGTGATATGTTTCATTTTCTTTTTTTGAAGTGAATTGTTTGAAGCAAATCTTTGGCATTGTATCTCAAAGTTGCAATTTGAAATCTTATATTTAGCTACCGGTCCAGGATCAGTTGCAGAAACAGGGAAACTATCTTAAGCAGAAAGGGATTTGGAACGGGGAGTTGGGTGTTCACAAAGTCTGTGGAAAGCTCGGTGAGTGGGCTCTGGGCTGGACATTCGGGAAACACTCCAGGGAAACCCACCACTGAATTGGCCCACCAGTAGCCCTGTAGCCTTCACCACAATCAAGTCAGTGCCCTATCAATGGAATGCAAGCCAGAGAAAAGCCTTTTGGTGATCTCAGAATGATTTTTAAATAAGCTAACATTTAAAAACCAAGCAGCTCCACTAAAACACCGAAATGCTTCTGAAAAACCACTTGCTTTGGCAGCCTTGGCTCTATTGCTTGCTGGCGTTTGCCAGCTGGAGGGGAGAAGCGTGGGTCCTGGGTCCAGGTCACCACCCTCTCTCATTCATCTCTTTGGGCATTTTGCTTTTAGCCTTGACGTGTAAGAGAAACCAAAGACGTGCCTCAGATCTTCGCCACTGCCTTAAGGAAATCATAAGGAAAGGCGCAAAAAAGGCCCAAAGGGGCTAAAAAACGCTGGGAATCAGCAGTCCTCTTGCCCCACCCTAATCATTCAGCAGGGAAACCTTACCAGCAAACTGAAAGGAAACCATCACCTTGTTTCTATAGTTTTTCCTTTGAGCCATCCCCCCAGTCCTACGTGGTGTCTCTTGAGGCAGTGAACAGTATTCTAAGTCTCATCTGGCCAGCAAGTTCTAAAACCTAATCCAGATAATCCAAAAAGAAAATGAGTTGAATATTGATGTTATTTATAATTCACATGTTAGCTTTCCTCTGTACCTGTGGATCGTTTTTCTCCTAAGGGAAAGCAGTCTGCTTTCCCATTTCAACATTAAGCCATACACAGCTGTCCTGAAATGAGCTGTAAATACTTCAACTAGTCGTTGTCATTCTGTCAGTCTTCACAGAATCCTTAACTTTGAAAGGTGTCCATTAGCATCTGGATGTCTCCACAGCTAAATTATATGCTGTAGTGGGAAATGGCATCTTTCAGATTTACTTCTTTTTTAAAGGTTTGTTCTCTGTTACTTCAAAACTCCAACGGCAATCTTTTCTTTTTGTTTGTTTGCTTTTTTAAATGTACTCCAAAAATTGACTAGGGAGCAAAGAACAAATGGTATCATTAAAGTATATATTTCAACTATTGACTGAGACTGCATATTTTCAAGTTCTACCATACAGCCCTGTGTTAGAACAGGCAGCTTATAGGAATAAAGACAAACTGTTGTGGGTACAAACAGTGGGATTTAAATTCTGAATTTTTGATCCTTAAATTTTTCTTTCCTAGTGAAAACCCTTCTTTTTAAAGGAGGTGTACAATGAACAGTAAGAAATGCAGAGGCAAATGTGTTGTATCTCCAAGTTCAGAACAGTTTAATTTAATGTTGTGGAAATTGGTCACGTGCATGCATATTAACTCTATTTATGGTTTCCTGCACAGTTGGTAGCAAAGCTAAAGCTCAGATTACACACAAGGGTCAAAAGCCTTAATGCATTCCAACACTTTTGTATTTTCCTCTCAAAGACGCCTTTACCAGTATCTCCACTCTGCCTAGTCTCATAGTTTGCTAGTGGCTGTTTCTAAGAGTTGGCTCACCCTGGAGGCATCTGGAGTATTATGAAAAGGGCACATATGTCAGAGGAAAAGCCATCTGGTCATTGTCGTTGGGACATGGAGGGACAGCTGGCAAAGGCTTCCTAAATGGTAAGGCCAATATTACAAATTTCTGACGCTGATGCAATGGATCTGACCACAGTTCTGTGCCCCTTACTTCCTGCCATTAGAATATCATAAGCCTAGGAGAGGTGTGGAGCAGTTGTCTGTAGCCACAAAGCCCTAGGCAGCACAGAGTGGTGGTATTGGAAAATATTTTAGAGATTTGCAAGAGTCTGAAAAATCATTTACTTTTCTTTAGCATACTTAATTCTAAGAACACAGTATATAATACAGAGAACATACAAAATATGTGTTTATCAACTGCTTCTGTTATCAGTAAGGCTTCTGGTACTATCAGTAGGCTATTAGTAGCTAGGTTTTTGGTTCATTTGTTTTTTTATATTCCACAACTTATTTCACTTAGTGTAATACCCTCAAGGTTCATCCGTGTTGTTGCAAAAGGCAAGATTGCATTTTTTATGGCTGACTCCCTCTCACTTTCATGATGAATTGGTGCATGATACTATTTCTAGGTGCCTTTCATACATTATTAAAAAATTTTAATGGATCCAATTGATGGGTAAATCATACTGCCAATGAGACAATGTGGCAAAATATTGGCCAGCCTTTGGGAATCCTAACTTTTCAAAGTTAACCTATTTTATCCATTTTCTGCCTCTTAGTTCTGAGACCAAAATAACACATCTCTAATTTCCCTTGACTTCAGCCACCAGAGCTCTCTCTCCGGAAGAAAGGTATGCTGGTGGAGACATATCTCTGTAGCTCCTCCCAGTCCCCTGCCCTCCTTCACTGAACCTCCAGAGAAATGCTTCTCAAAGCATGACTGGTTCCTACATCTAGGTTTTAGCACATCCTCAAGGAATTCTTATGCACTCTAGAGTTTAAGAAAAAAGTTGTTTGGAGGTTATGTGGAATTACTTCTCTCCTTCTCTGTCCTTACTGGGGAGTGAAACAATTTCTTTCCCTTGTAGCCCAGCTGAAATATGGATGGGTATGTTCAGTGAATTAAGAAGA